CGAGCACCTCACCGCGACACAAACATTTCTGACCTTTTGTAGTAAGAGTAACCGTAATTTGCGCCTTTGATCATTGGGAATCTCAATCCATGGTTAATCCAAGGTGGACTCCTAGTGGAGGACTATCTATAAGAAGAGGGAGCGACCTGCTCAGTTTGGGATGTCATTTTGGAGAGCACAAAGTTCCACGCAACGTCAAGATGATTGCGTTCAGGGATATTCCAATCCGTATCAATTACGGCTGTTCTCAGATGGCGCGGGTCGACACGCCAAAAGTTCCGACGATAACCACCTTGGCTATGGATCATGGAGCGACGTGTCCATGTGATTGAAACAACACGGATCGCTTTTGCCAATGGTTTAAAGAACTGTCAGGCCTTTGACATCTAACTGACTGTGTGAGCACAAGATTTAGGATTGCAGAGTCTGGTCTAGGGATATACGAGTTAATATTATGACATGTAAAAGATTGCCGTCAAGAACGGTTCCGAGTAAGGTGGCATCGAAGGATTCAGTTCAGCGACCACAAAGAATGTAGTTCCTAGTCGGCATCTGGCGCATTGAAATCCCTCAGGATAGGACAGTTCTTGCCTCCGCCATGCGTCCTGATCGATACCGACAAGCAAGCTCCGGAGCTTGATCGCGTGTTGTAAACGACGCCGATTAAGAGAGATTTGCATCCGTCAGGCGCACGGCACCAAAGGGATTCGAAATGGTCATTATGGTCAATGATAGCTACAGCTACATACGCTTTGAGGTTCTCCTTCCAGTAGAGCACTGCATCACCATCAGACCGCACTTCGGAGCGACCGGGAAGAAGGGCGACCATTGTCCGATAGAGAAGCTGTGACTAACTGATTAAACTGATTCTCAGAGTGTTCGGCCCAACGCTCCAACCGTCTTAACAAGCTGTGGGTCGGCTGTCCACTGTCGTCGCGTATGGTCTCGCTAATACCAGATCTCCTGCTGCTCATTTCCCTTCTCAGACGGAATAACTTACGATGGTTACCAACGGCAGCAGCAGTTTCCATTTCCGCAGCGCAATGAGACCACCAGACTTCGCGGTTTCTACTCTGGCCAGCACGCACTTTCGCCCTGAGCGCTTTACAATTCTCATTGTGTTCGTTTCCAGCCAGAACACGTCGGCGAGTATCCAAAAGTTCCAGAGACTGCGTAAAGACCCAGTGCCCACCTTGGCACTTTGATTTGTCACATGAAGACGTCTGCTCCTAATAAAACATCAGCCATTTGAACTGATGCTTCGATGCCATACAGCCATGATGACCTATGAAATAAAGAAGGGGGACTTACTTGAAAACCTTAATGCCCTAAGCAAACATTCATGGTCAAGGCACCTACACATTGTGTAGTCAACATACCGTCACAAACAGCTGGCTATCGTGCAAAGATAAGGCAGCATCAGCGAGACAGCTTCCTTGCGGCGTTCACTGCCCCGCCATAATCAGCCATTACCCCACAGATAACTCAGAACCAAACACACTTTAAACAGACCATCCGAGTAGGAGACAGCGGCCGACGCGGCACTGGTGTCGGTTGCGAGCCATGTCCGGTATAGTCTCGAGCCAAGCACAGAGCGAGTCACGTGGACTCCAGCCCGGAAGACGAGACGGACCAACGGCATCATCACCATCATCGTTGCGGACACGCTGGTGCCATCCGACACCAACAATGCTTCTCAGACAACGATGATCAAGGACTTGAGGGTGTCTCAAATCTTCAGATCGAAGGAGCCAAGTTTCACTTTCATAGAGCAGAACGGCCCTCACTCTGGCTTTGTATACACGACCTTGCGTGACCGAAACCATGATCAGTGACCCTCACGGGATTGTTGACTTAACTGCGCCTTGTTTGTCCTCGTTATTGGTTGCACGCATCTGGAGACGACGATGCAGCAACCACTGATCAAACTGGAGTGGGCATCGTTCTCAGCTCCAAAGCTGAGTCATCGTTACTTGATTAGATTTCTGTGAACAGCCGTTTGTGTGCAGTCCTTTTGATGACATCGATTAACGTTGATTCACGTAGTACTCGACGGTTGCTGGTGGTTTCCTCTTATGCCCCTAACGACTGCAGTTCTGATGCTGCCAGGGATACTTTCTACCACGAACTGAACACAGTGCTGACAGTTCAGATCTCGTTCTTGTGAAAAGGATATGAATGCACAGGTCGATTATCTGAGCTCTTCAGAAGCTCAGCCAGGCTGTGAGTATGGATTTAACGCTGAACGGATGAACACTGGCGAGCGTCTGTTACAGCTGTGTACGAAGTACTGACTGTTTCTCAGTTGCACCGCCTTTAGACCCAGTGGGCGCCGAATTGTCACTTAGCGTACCCCTATAGCTGGGCAGCGGGGGACCCAAATAGATCACGTTGACATCTTTTCCAGAGCATGGGTCTATCCCGAATTGTTGCTCGTTTCAGAATACGTGCGTTAACTCTGATCATGCCTTTGTACGTTGTCGTTTCCCCATGGATTTTATCGTGAGGCGTACCAAGCGACTATCCCGGTTGGCAACTCAGAAGTTATGTCAATCCTCGGTCAGCCAAGCTTACCAGAATATCTTGTGTGCTAAACTTTCGCTCTCTCGTCCTAATGACACTGAGCTTCAGTGAAATATGATCTCGGCCGCTATACACTACACGGGTGTTTCTGTTTGCGGTGTTATCAATCGTCACCGCACCAGTCATTGGATATCCGAGTGTTCGATGAACCTGTTGGGATCCAGCAGCTAACTCCAGGCTGTCTCTGAGCATTATGTGGACAGATGGACTATTAGGCGGGAACTGAGGCGGAGCCTGCGTGCTAACATGGAACCCTGATGGACCAGTCGAGCTCAAGAAATGGAGGGGACAGGAGCAGTGGGCAATTATCGCAAGCCCTTCCAACAGATCCGCGCTACTGCTCCCAGAAAACTAAACGTCAGTGAAACAATCAGAGACAACGCAGGTGCCATGATTCACAATATGGAGCGCCGTATAGTTTGTTGGACGGATAACTTTCAATATCATTCCAGTTGACCACCTGCTTCTGGACTTCTTCTGACTCACTTGGCGCTGGCTGAGCCATAGCCGGTTAGTTTAGGAGCTCCGGTGGCGTCTGAGGTCCGAAACGCGATCATTACCCTTGATCGTTTTCGAGCTACTGGCTCCGGTTCCATCGCACCCGAACTAATATAAGTATGTGGTGAGGTCCTCCGCACGCACTGACCTCCCTGATCATACAGGTCTGGAGGGTACAGGCCATCCCAACTAACGTGAGTGAATCAATTATAGTGGCAACATATCAAAATGAGCAGTTGCACAGACTGTGCTAACTACAGGAATATCAACTTAACGCTGGTAGTGATAGAAATGTTAACCTCAAATCTCGTTCCTCTCCTCATTGCGGAACGGAAATCCCGGCTTAGGGAAGAGCAAATAGGCTTCCGCCCAGAACGGGGTTGTATGGACCACATATTCCTTCTGCCGTCTTGCGCGTACTACAGCCGACAGTACCTGTGTTTTTCTGCTTCAAGTGTGAGTTCGACTAAGTCGATCGGTCAATTCTGTTGGATATACTTGTGCACAAAGGTGTTCTTATGAAATATGTGAGCACTTTACATGCCTCATACTCGAACACGACAGGCCACGTCAGTCTGGTGTCTTATCAGAGGTCTTTCCGACAACAAGTGCCGTTCGTGAGGGTCGTCCAATCTCCCAATTTTTATTCAACCTCGTCGTGGACTTCATCATGGAGTGTTCTCTTGCGGAATCTCATCATACAGGCATTGAGGTGTTACTTACTGAGGATCTAGTTGATCTTGATTATTTGGACGATATTGTCTTGCTTTTTAACGACATTAGTGTGGTCCATTAAACCCTGAACATCCTGTCAAGAGTAGTTCTATTGTTTTGCATGCACTTCGCGCTCTTAATGTGCGAAGAGACTGGACCTTAAGGTGGTGCGACGGTTTGCGTACTTTCTTGACCTATTGAGCTATACTGGGTGGTGCCTCCCGGCAGCTTGAGAGCTACTCCTACCAGGTTGGTCAGTGGTGAGAGGTCAGACAAACTCAGTCTCCTGGTCCTCCAGGTTGGGGGTTTGAAATGGAATGGCGTCCATTTCTGTAAAACTGAATCATTGCCACCTCTCCGCTACCTTGCGGACAGGCTTTTGAGCCAAAGGCTTTGGGTAAGGACCCTAATCGTCCTTCTGTCTAGGTCTGGGCACCCTGGCAGGATCCCAATCCACATACAACCATGACTTTTACTTCAAACATAAACTTCATCCTGCATCGGCCGTCGCGCAGATTATCAAGGGTCGCCTTATCTGCTGCATACAGCAGGGCGGATAAGCGAAAACATGCTACTGCTGGCGCCTCCCTTTTTTCTTTTCCACCTGTTTCTCTTACTCCCATCCTGACCATCATCACTTACTATCCTTCAATGATTCCCAGCTTAATTGACAGCAACCGAAGTGCCACTGGAGTAGAACCATCTGCAGCCACCTTCTCGCAACACGCACCGGACGCGTATCAGCAACAGTCCCTTATAAGGCCACACTGTCCCGTTTCCATGGCAATACACAACCCTCCTCAATATGTGGTGGTTGAGCATGTCCTCTCGCTTCTCTATTCGATACCGATCTTATACTTTTTCTGTATTGTCACATGCTTACCGTTTATATAAAGCCTGATTACGCAAAAAGGAAATCCGCTATCAGTTGTTTAAATGCCGTTAGATCACGGTGTATTCTCAGAATGGTTTCTCTATGTCCTCTGCCCTCTTAAAGGCACCTTATTAATCCTGCATCTTGCTACCGCAGTTCCACTTCATGCACATGAGTTTTGTGTAATTCCGCATGAGAATAGATCAAACCAGTCAGATTCATACAAATTCCTGTTTATCTTCGTCTTACCACTATATTTCGTCACACCCTTGTTGAACTTCATTCGTCAATTCTCGGTTGAGCGCACATAGCATGCATGGTGCTTATGATAATGGACCAACTTTTACTTCCGAGGATCTCCTGCCTGGGGCTTGTGTATCCACCTTGGTATTTCGCTTTCAGTGGTAATTCATTATGCATGATTTCCCCATCTCGACACCGCTGGAGACCCATCCTACACATTTCTTTTCTCTACTACCTCTAACCAGCACCTCTGTGTTTCAGATTACCCAACTGACACAATGTCACAGACTACGGTTCAGGTAACTCGTACATTTTCATCTCTACCTCCTTGGTGGTCAGCGGTTACAGCAAGGCAGTGTTGTACTGACCGATTTGGATGGCCTCTTGGTCAATGCGGAGAATTTCAATCAAGTGTTCATCCAGCGCATTGATGCAGAATGGATGACCTCTACCATAAATCGCGTGGTGAAAAGCGAGCTCCACTTGCACAAACTCGTCCAAGTGCTTATCAAATACGTCGTGTCTGAAATCCATCCGGATTGGAGCTACCACGCGCTTGCTTGGCTCACTCACCTATTTGAATCCCCTGTTGTGCCGCGTTTCCCTATGACAGCTACTCTACGCAAGTCTTGTGGTCCCCTATTGTCATACGCAGCGGAGATGTCCGGACTACGTGACCTCTATTCTCAAGCAGCGCTAAGGGCAACTGTCGCTGAGAAGTGGGCCGCCTCATCATCGCGTTTGCCAAACGGTGTTCCGCACAATTTTTACTACGGAGGATTATTTGATATTCCTTCCACTGGCTACGTGTATGTTGATGGTACGTTTTTGTGCAACCTTTTAACCTTTTATTTTATCATTTAAAGGGTTCCATCTTCAAATCAATTTGCTGTGAATTTTGACTGCAGAAGCGTTGCTAATCCGGAACTTCTACCTGGGCTCTTCATCCATTTCTTACATTTTCATTCCACCTTCTGCAGCCATTGTTTTGTGGATCCTCGGGTTACTTTATGTCTACCTGAAGCCTACTGATCTCCGGTGTGGTGTTAGGAGTCCGTTAGGAAACCGATGTGTGTTAATCCACGTCACCCACATCGATCGTCCCGCCCGTATCATAAGCGATCCAACTTAGAGGTTCAAGCTAGGTAGAGTGATGCTCTGCGATCACTGGAAGCATGTGCCACGACATTCTAATGACACGGTCTTTGGCCACCGCCTATAGGTTTCCTTGGGGCCCCGAAGTCAACCGACTTACCTGTTCTGTTCTATGAGCTGAACTATTTTGCCGCAGACATTTCATCACCAATCGGCGTGACTTACTCGGTTCTTAGTAGGCAACCTGAATGGTTCGTCGATCCTTGATCAATGGGCGAATGATGCTTTTGAACTTGACCACTTCGATTCATTTCCCGTGGCCATTGCTGGTTTATAGTTCGGTCGCCGCCTCCTTCAGCCCTATGTAATGAATGCCCCGTCAAAATTCTTTATTTCGTGTTGGTAGTAAGCTGGGTCTAAGTCTGTGCGCAGGTTTACTGAATTATCTATAGAGAACCACGCTTTGAGAGATTTCCTTCCTTTTGTTGTCTCCCCCTGCGTCAGGACCTCTGTTTTCTCCCAGTCAAATATATCCCAGTTGTGATGAGTAATAGTTTCGGTAGACTCGTATGGGTTCTTGCAACCTTGTAGATGATTTCCTTTCCGCTTGGCATGCATAGTTCTTATCGGAAATATTGCACTGTATTCTGGAAACAATCTTACAGCGTTCGTGTGTTCTCGTTTTCCCTTTCGGTGTAGACAATATTCCTTTTAAAGTGGCGATTGGTATGTGAGCTAAGATCAGGTAGTGCGGCTTGAGGAGTCTGGCGGTTCTTTCCGATACATTCTTGATATATAGAAAAGCGATCCGTTTCGTTTTTGTTCGTTCAGATATGGCATTTGTAGTCTTGTTGTTTATATATCTTCGGATGAGACTGTTTGGATATCCGCTGCGCATGAATGATGTAAACAGATGGTGGTAAGTATGGGCTTAACTCCGACCGGACGGACAACGACGAGCGTCTGTTCCAACTGTGTGCGGAGCACCGCTTTTAGACACAATGGGCGCCGAAGTGACAAATTGTCATCTCCCTAAGGTTCGCCAGCGGTGGACCCAAATCGGTCACGTCGCCGTAAGTTACAAATGGCGTGGTTCCATCGTGGTTTGTCGCTCGTTTCGGAATATATGCCCCAACTCTAATCATGTTTTGGTACTTAGTCGTCCTTTTTCATGGACTTTATCAGGAGGCGTACCAAGCGCTTCTCTCGATCAACAACCGAGAAGTCATCTCGGGCAAGCCTATCGAGATCCCCTATGCACCGTCGCAATGAGACTGAACCTCAGCGTGGTGCGACGGTTGGTGTACCTCGTCAACCCATTAAGCTATACTGGGTGATGGCTCCGGGCCCCTTGAGAGCTGCTCCTACCAGATTGGGCAATGGTTAGAAAGCAGATAAATTCAGTCTCCTGGTCTTCCAGGTTGGGGGTTGGAAATGGGATGACGTCCATTTCTATTAAACCCCGCTGCTTTACAGACAGGCTTTGCTTGAGGTCCCTAATCGTTCTCTTGTATAGATCTGGGTATCCTGGAAGTAAGCCCACGTACAACCATGACTATTTATTCAAACTTCAACCTCGTCCTGCATCAGCCGTCGTGCAGCTTATTAAAGGTCGCCTTATCTGCTGCATACAGCTGGGCGAAGAAGCGAAAACATGTCACTGCTGGCGCCTCACTTCTTTTCTATCTGTTTGTCTTCATTCATTATACACGTTAGCTAGAAGTGGAAAATACCTCAGCTACTGTACCGCAATACATAAGAGAAAAAAGATGGAAATGCAACAGGTGCAAGCTAGCTGAGCTACCGATAAAGGATGGGCATCATCCCGGTAAGCTACCAGCCGGCTACTAAGCAGCGAACAAAATTTTACTATGCAAAAGTATATAGGGCTAAATAGTGAGATCGTGCTTGGAAGCGTAGGCTAAGAGGGATGGGGTGGGACAGAGAAACTCACAGTACGAACGCCACTGAGGTCGGCTCCTAGCCATATCAACAAGTGTATCCACCCAAGCGTGTTCATTGTCTTTCGGACCCCAACCACGAAACCGAGCCGCTCCAACTGAGGCCAACTCCGAAGTGAGGGCCTACATTCCTCTCGACCAAGTCATCGCTTGGCCACCCCTCCTCTTCCATCCACACCTCCGGCGCGCAAACAACGCACGTCGCGGGAGTTGGTGAGCTATCATGCGTAACACGTGGCCGAGCCATCGGAGCCTGATGCGTGAAATAACGGTGCTGAGCGGTTCAGTTCCTTTCGCAGTGCCGTAAACAAGGCGTCGAACACGCTTGTTGCTTACTCGGTATTCCCACCAGATATGAGCTAAATTGTGAAGGCACCGGCTGTCGAACATAGCTAGCCTCTTTATGTGTGCTGATCTAAGGGGCTAGGTTTCACAACCGTACAGTAGAGTCAAACTTACCGCTGTATTGTACACTCTGCCCTTAAGGGCGAGAGTGCTGTCGCGCCGGCGCCATAAGGGGCGAAGGTTAGCAAAAGCGCCTCGAGCTTTTGCTATACGGTTCTTGATCTCATCTTCAGTCCCACGGGCGCTGACACAACTTCCCAGGTAGTTGAATTTTTGAACGACTTCTATATGATCCCCACCAAGGGTCAGCGTAGGAGGCGGTCCAGGCCAATACTGGAGGAACGCTTTGCACTTCGACGGTGCGAAGCAAAGCCCGAATTAAAAGACAGTCAGCTCTAATCTGTGCAGTGCCGACTGGCATGTCTGGAAGCTGTCAGACATTAGGGCAATATCGTCAACATACTCTAAGTCAAGAAGTCGTTCTCCTGGAAGAAGATCCACACCATCTAAGTCGTGTCCTGTGAACGCGATTTCCATGACTTTGTCAGTAGAGAAGTTGAAGAGAAAAGGTGATAGCGGGCATTCTTGTCTCACACCGCTGGAGATATTAAAGGGCGACGAGAGCTTGCTGTAAGCCCTCACTCTGCCTGACCTACGCGCGTCTAATGATCGGATAATATTTACATATTTTTCAGGTACACCTTTCCTGAGTAGACAGTCCCAAAGTGCACTTCTATCCACCGAATCGAATCCACCTTTGATATCGAGGAACACGACAACGGTGGACCGCCAATATATATGACGGTGCTCCAACAGCTGACGCAAGGTGAAGATGTAGTCAATGCAGGCACGACCTCGACGAAACCCGGCTTGCTCTTCACGAATATGGCTTTCACTAGTGCCAGTCATTCTGTGAAGAATGACAGAGGCAAACAATTTGGAGGCCATGGCGATCAGACTGATTCCTCTATGCTTGCCACATTCCGATCGTGAGCATTCCTTGGAAATTGGGACTATGACGGAGCGGCTCCAGTCGATTGGGACAGTTTCCTGCTCCCACAGTTTAACTGGTATTTTTTGTGTATCATCCACAAGAGCAGACCCCCCGAATTTGAATAGGGCTGGAGGAAGATCATCAGGTACCGCAGATTTCTTGAAGTTTAACAGTGCGATCTCACTTTTGACTTCTGAGCGAGAGGGCGGATCCAAAGGGACAGTCCACGGGGCGGAGCGATCAGTGGCCGGCGAGAAATCCAACAATTCCGGCCGATTAAATTGCCTTTCAAAGTGCTCAGCCCAACGCTCTAAGCGTTTCGATAAGTTGTGGATAGGCTGTCCACTCTCGTCACGTATGTTTTCACTAACACCAGGTCTGCTGCCCGTTTCCCGTTTCAGCCGAAATAACTTACGATGGTTACCAAGGGCAGCGGGCACTTCCATCTCTGATGCACAAAGAGACCACCAGGATTCGCGGTCTCTCTTCAGGCTAGCACGGAGTTTTGTCCGGAGCTGTTTGCGAGTTTCATTGTGTTCGCTTCCAGCCGGGATATGGCAGCGAGCATCGATAAGTTCCAGAGACCGCGAAGAGACCCAATGTCCACGTTGGCGATTAGACTTACCAAATGAGGATTTGCCGGCTGCTAGTAAGGTCTGGTGAACATAAGACTAGTGAACTTCAATTGTATCCAGTGAGCGCTTATTTAACTCGCATGACAGCGTACTTTGATAGGCATTCAGAACAGCTGGTTTCGCCAGTTGGTTGGTGTCAATGCGCTCACAGCGTCCTCATGGGCGTCCGCCAAAACGCATCCGCAGGTAAGCACATACAAGTGCATGGTCGGTGTCCACACAGGTGCTCCAAATCGAGCGGCACTTCCGGACGCAGCCTCTCCATCGGTAACTTATCGCAATGTGATCGATCTGCGTCCATAGCTGGTTCAAGGCTGGTGGGCGCCATGTCACCCTCCGGCTGGTGCTGTGTCGGAAATTAGTGCTCGCAAGAAATAAGCGAGCACCTTCACACAAATGAGGTAACCGCTCACCGTTATCACTTCGGGAGCCTACACCATGTTGGCCGTCCAGATGCAGTTCATAAGTCCACAAATTTCCAACTTGTGGGTTCAGATCCCCAGCCAGCACTACAGTGTCCGAGCTTTTTCTCTGACGAAGCAGCTAGTTCAATTGGCTATAGAAGTCGTCTTTTACCGAATCATTGCTAGCATTTGTGGGTGCATGGGTAGCGATGATGAATAGACACCTGTTAGTCCCGCGCGACTTCGAAGCTTTGAACGAGCCAGCCAATCGGACCGCATACAACCGGCTACTGATTGGAATCCAATCAACCAGAGCAGTTTCAGCCCGGGGACTCAGGGCAATACCAACACCAGCTTGGCCGGTGCTCGATGCTGCATCGTCACCG